GATCCCATATTAAAATGCAGATATTACAGCAGAAATAAACATGTTTACAGCCTGGTACAAAAACAGTTTTGGTCTCTATAGATAATTTCCCCATTCATGACAACTGTACGGGGGGTGAATTTTCATATCACTTTATCATTCTATTCGTTGTAAAAATGTTGATTATAGTGCCTGATATTGGTCGGGCTGTTAATAACCAATATATTCTAACCCCTACTGGTCAGATTGCTGTGAGATCTGTTGTGAATATTCATAATGCCCCAGAGCTTCCAGAGGGTCCCTGATCACTTTGGTGACGCCTCTGGCCTGTCAGTGGCTGAATGGCTTGTACAAGTGCGACTCATTCATATGCGAATCATTTCATACACATGATCAGCCATGGAACAACTCCTTCGGTTCCACGTACACACGTGGACACACCTTGACCAAGTAGCTGCCATCCTTCTCTAGGATAGCGATGAGAGTGGAGAGGTTTGACTGGTCGTCTCTCCGTGTTGGAGAGCCGGGGGGCTCGTCGTCATCTGGAAAACGCACCCCACCCGCCTTGGAGGTGGAGCCTGGTCATAGAGAGAATATTTTGTCAGGTTTCAAATCATCAAACAATCAAGGCAGGGACAATTATTGATATGGAGTGAAACATAATGGCTGCAACTTGTCTAGATGGCAAAAGGCAACACAACAAAAACACGTTACGTATAGGTCAGTTAGAACTGTGGTTCCCAACCTTTGTCCTTAAGGGACCCCTTTTCTATCATTGAGTAAACTAGTGACCCCTGACTAAGTGCTCTTTGGTTGTTTAAAAAAAAAAAAATCATTTAGTTCTTCACAAACAATGAACAAAATGCTTAGATAAGGGCCTACTCTGTATATTTTCAACGATTTCTTACACCCATTAAGATTAAGTAGGCCTTGTGACCCCCAGTGAAGCTTTCGCAATCCCTAGTTGGGGTCCCGACCCTCAGGTTGAGAACCATTAAATTAGACATTAAAAACACAGTCCATGGTTTGGTAGGCCTTTACGAATACCCCTAAACCTCTGTCTTTTCTCACCCGCTTACTGCTGACTATTGAATTTCAAAACTTTATAAGTGAGCTAAGAACATATCAGGAGCTTTAACAACAATAGAACCCCTTTTGTTTCTTCTTGTTCCTACAGTGTGGTGTCTGTTTGACACCAGAAGAATGTTTTCACATTCATTGCTTAAAGTGGAAGTTTCTCTGTGCTCATTGATCCTCTGATTTTAAGGGGCGGGGCCACCAGCAGGATTTGTGACATCATAAATATTTGGAGAGTCAGTCCTGGTGCCAGTATAACTTGTTACAGTGTACTTGAAGCCACCAGTGCACAAACACTGAGAATGGAATTTACAGTGAAGTAGGAGACATCTTGTGTCCAGCAGGAAAAGAAAATTGTATCCCATCTTCAGTGCGTGCCTCTATTCAAAGTCTAACCTACAAAGTAATAAGCGAATAAGTAAATAAGTAATTTCCCCACGGGGATTATTAAAGTATTTCTGATTCTGATTCTGAAAGAAGTGGAGCCGTAAAATGCATTATACACTGCCACCCTTCCTTCTGTATATTCACTGATCCATTTGGGAAGCCACTGTTTCACATGGATTCCAAAGCTAGGCTAACTGCAAGAGGCACAGTGCCCCCTGGTGATTACAGACAGACATGACACATGAACAGAGACAGTGTCAAACTTACCTTTTCGTCCTGTTGCCATGGTAATGTGGTTAGGAATTGGGAAGCGTTGATGTCATCACTGACCTCCTGAGCATGAGGACACACAATGACAGACAGCACAGTGTGACGTGTGTGAGCTTGTTAGGCCTGGTAGTGTGGGCTTTGTATTGCATAATTTGTAAAGTAAAAACAGAGTCTTCGATTGAGGTATTTTTTCTGTCCTGAGCTTTATAAAGAAGGGTGCAAGGTGTATTGATACCTCTACCTCTCTTACATGTCAATCCCTCCCTGAGTATCAGTTTTGTTAGAGAAGTAGACTTATGAGTGGAAGGTCACCAGTAAATCATTACAGTATGGAAAGTAGGGATGGGAATTATCGGACACGATATTCAGCAGCTTAACGATTATTGCTATTGTGTTTGGTTTTTTATTTTACAATTGTCAATACAATTAATTCCTTTAAAACTCTGCTACTCACTCAATGTCCCGCCCACACTCTGATTGAGGTTACACTTTATGAGTAATAGTAAAGTAATAATGTAAGAGTAATTGTTTTCGTTTTTGCAGCGTTTAATTACACATATATTATGTTGGCTGTGGCTTAGGAGGTAGAGTGGGTTGTCCACTAATCAGAAGGTGGGTGGTTCAATTCCCAGCTCTTCCTATTGCATGTCGAATGTCCTTGATTGCTCACAATCCATTGCCATCACTGTGTCATGTAGTGTACAGTTTCAAAGTAGCTAGAAAGGTGCTATATTTATATTATTATAGTACTACTTACTATAGTATATATAGTCATCTTACCATACTTAAAGTACTCAGATATTCTATTTAAGTTTGAATGGTAAATGGACTATACTTATATAGCGCCTTTATCAGCTTTCGGCCACTCAATGTGCTGTACACTACATGCCACACTTACCGCATACGCATACATTCATACAGTGCATGCAACCATGCAAGGTGCCAACTGCTCACCAGAACAGAATCTAATCATTCATACACACTCATACACCAATGCACATCTGGAGCAATTTGGGGTTCAGCATCTTGCTCAAGGACACTTCGACATGCAGTGAGAAGAGCTGGGGATCGAACCGCCAACCTTCCGATTAGTGGACAACCCCGCTCTACCTAACTGGTTATTCTAACTTTATCCACTCATAATTTCCTTTTTATTGCAAATGTGTATCTGTTCCAAATACCGGTAATTGCTTCTCTTGATTACTAATAATCAGAAACTGTATCTGCCCTGAAAAACCCCCAGAAAAAAGCAACTCTTGTCCCTCCCTTATTAAGATAACATGTTCTTTTATTGATCCCCATAGGAGACACTGGAATTTGGCAAAGCAGCACAGGGGAATGTAGTGCAAAGAGCAGAATAAAATTGAGAAATACAATAAAATATAATACAAAAAAAAAATTATGAAAAAAATCATATTATATTCAAAATTGTACAATGAACCCAAACAGTGAACTCACAATAAAATATAGGAAAAAATCTTCAATATAAAAAATATATACACTCAATATACAATAAAGTGAAATATGGTCCAGATGGAGACCTTAGCCCCTCTAAGGTGTCATTATGGAAGGCCCTTCACCCCCAACTGCTCCTGTTGGCTAACAGATCAGACTGTGGTTGTAC